ATCTAAAGACAAACGGTCTGTATTTGAAATAAGCTCTTACTGCATAGCTTCTCAGAATAAAACTTGAAATCCCCCCAAAGTGGGGGATAAGCCTTATAAAAGATACTAAAGGTAGTATCTGTCCTTCATCAACGCAACTAAGGTATTTACGATTGCCAACAAGCTTTTGAGCAGACTGCAGCCAACTCAAAAGACTCTGTGTTTTGGTATTTCCCTGGACTGTAGCGTTTTACGGAGTTTAATAGTGCCACGGGATCCTGTCGCAGCTCCGTCACCTGCAGTCCCACGGGGCTCCATGGGGTTGCTGGAACAAGCGGTGCCTTCCCACGTCCCCACGCCTGGGGAAGCAAAAAGCAACACTTCTGCAACAGCCCCTTGCAGCTTCCAGAAGCCTTTGCCTCAAGAAGAAGGGAGAGAAAAAAAAATCCTTCATGTGTGTACGTGCAAATCCCAGGCACTCGTTAAAATGCTGATGCATCACCCAGGCCCCAGCTTGACCTTGACCTCAGGCACACAAGTAATCCCCCAAAGCGCGGCACACACTGACGTGCTTTACGAGGTTGGGTCCTACACGTTCCTTCTCCCATCCCAGGCCTCAGGATTCTCATTTCAGCTTTCGGCATCGTCGTGCCTTTTCCTTCTGGCTGATCGCTCCCGTCAGCTGCGAAGAAGGGGGCTTCAACACCAGCTGGGCCGACGAGCCCGAGCTTCAGGGCCTGCCCTCGCGCATCACCCAAGACTGCCCTGCGATTTTTTCATTAGTGAGGTCCAATGCAGGTGTAGCAGCCCATCTTCGTGTGACGGTTACGTCTGGTAAAGTGGCACCTGCGTCTTTCAGACAGGGACAGGTGACCCACAGAGTCACTTTTCTTTTTTTATTCAGGGTTTGTTTTTTTTTTTGTGGGTGTTTTTTTGTGGGTGTGTTGTGGGGTTTTTTTGGGTGTTTTTTTTTTTTTTTTTTTTTTTAGTCAGTGCTGTTTTATTGCTGTGCTGTGGGACTTTATGCCAGCCATGGCTTACTGGGGTGTGTGCTGCAGAGCCCTTGCTGAGCAGGGTACAAACCCCCCGGTCACTGCAGGGAGCCCGCATTCGGTGGCTGATGTGCGCGAAGCTCCCGCCACGTTCAGCTGTGCTGGGGCGTCATCACTCTTTGCTGCTGATGTAAAAATGGTTTTCTGACACTCGTAACCCTTCTAGTGTAAAACCGGCTGCTAAAGTGGGTTTGGTGGCAGGCGGTACCTGAAGGCATCACGTACTGCACCGCATAGGCAGCAACATGAGGTGCGGGGCTTGAACCGAGCTGGTGCTGAGCTGCACCACGGACCCCACCAGCAGCTGACGTCAAGGATCGATCATGAAGAACTGAGGCCTAAATTCTGCTACGGTCTCTGTCCTGCCTTCTCCAAACAGGGCACTTGCCCAGTAAGGCTGCAGATGATGGACATCTTTCTGTACATTTGTATGAGAAGTATGCAGCAAAATACTGTAGTCTGTCGTTCGTCACGACGCTGCTGAAAGATACAGTCAAGCTCATGATGTATGGGCTAACCTCGGCTTTAAATGCAGCGGCTCAGTGAGGTGTTTAACTGCTAACGCGAAAGTAACGGTGACATACTTGTGAGCATCTGTTCAGCAGAGCCTGGGATGAGCCCCAGGTTACTACAGCCAGGTTTTGCCTCTGTGGCGATCAGAACTCGATCAGGAGGTTCCCTGTCGTTTACTGCTGCAGACGTGGTAAGGAATTATAAAATGCACTATACCCTGTGCACATGTGAGCTAAAAGGTACCCAAAAGTGTGGGTGGGAGGAGGGGAAACAGGGCTGGGTTTTGGTTTTGTTTTGTGGATCAAAAGGCTCCAAACAGCAGTGGAAAAAAAAAAAAAAAAAGATCTGCTGTAGCATTTCCTTGGGGCCAGAACTGCTTATGAACTGCAGCACAAAAATGTCACCGCCTCGTCCCGAGCGTCCCCTTCCCCACGGAGGGCAGGCGTTCGGCACCCGCATCGCTGGGTGCCTCTGCAGAGCTGCCCCCGGAGCCACCCAGGTACTGCCCCAGGCTCTGACAGAGTAACGTAAAGCCTCTTACGCCTCATCTGCTGCTATCAGCTCTTTCGGAGGTTCGTGTTTATTGTCTCAGTACCCAGGGTAGAGAGGATACCGATGTCTTTAGCAGTGTAAAAAGCAGAGGGGCAGGAGGTCGTCCCGCTTCCAGCAGCGGATTACCGCCCGTGTCCCTTCGGATAGGCAATGATGATAGGACCTGCCAGTTTACAACAGCTCTTTATTTTACTCGTATTATAAAACATCATCACAGGGCTTTAGTTAAACAGTGTTCACCTGTTTCAAATCATGAGCGTCATTTTCCCCTTTATTATAAATACTAACAAATTAACTTTATTTTCCATCAGCAATACCATAAAAACTTATTCTAACTGGACATATTTTTCAGCGATCCCCTGATGCAAAAATCCTGAAGAATTTGAAGTAGATCTCTATATTGTATATACACTTAGTTTTATATATACTTATATCAAAACTCACCATTTCTGTATATCAGTCATTATTGTGATCTTCCACTTCATAAATTATGTCAGCATTATGAAAATATGAACAACCATCTAGTTATTTTGCTGCTTTATAAGATATTTAATGATTGAACAGAGAACTGCAAAGTTACATGACTGCAATGGAAAGCCAGGTACACATTCATTTAAGATTTCCACACGGACTTCTCTTATTCCAAAACTTTTTCCACACTTTAGATCTACTCCTTCAAAAACTTCCAGTTACCTCTTTCTTTGAACACGTACACACAAACAGTTATGATGTGCGTGTATGTATTATACATTACATACCATATGTAATTCTATTGCTACTTGTAAGCAAATACATGTAACGTACTCTGAATGTACATATCGTATGTAATATATGTATACAGAGAGAGAGATACCACAGGCGTGTCGTATGCATTTAGACACACAAGTGTATGCATAAATATATATATATATACACACATAGATGGTAAATTCTTCCCTCGCGTATGTATACGCTGCTCGTTCTGAGAAGTGGGTGCCTTCCACGGAAACCTACTGCCGTCCGCGTGATCCCTTCGCTTCCAAAGCCACGAGCAAACCTGGCCCCGACCTGTTTGACTTCACCGCGTTTTTGGCTCCTGCCTCATGAACTCCAGCTCAGGCTCTGAAATGGACCCGCCTTGTCCTTGGGTTAACTTTTAAACCGCCAAATTAAACACAGTTGGCGCTGTATCACGTATTTGCACAAACAACCAGGAGCGCTTCAAAAATAAAAATCACTCGGGGCCTGATTCTTCTCCGACCGGCGCCTGCTTTATCCCAGCGTGACTCGACCGTCCGAAGGGACTGCTGCACGCGGCGAGGAACCTGTGAGTAGCGTGAGGCTGCTTGGCTTGGCTTTAGAGTGTAAGTAAGTAAGTCACATCATAGACTTTGAGTAGGTTGAGCTGTTGGGTTTGCATTTGGATTTGTAAAGGAAAGAACAGGCCTCTTATAGAAAGATCGAAGCTGGATATTCACTAGAAATGACAGCATAATTACACATTCTTACGTGAAGCGTGTCCACCATATAACCTTTGGGTTACATTTTTAATTTGTTAGATAAATATTTACTTACTGAATGTGTTTCTACTACTATGCACCTGATCAACCAGGACAACTCTTATTACAACATTTTAGATTAATACTCTGTATATTAAAAATACATCATAAAATTCTGAAACTAGTCACTGCTAAAAAGTAGATCTTGGATCCTGCAACGATCCAAAGCACCTGCTTAAAATTAGCATTTGAGTAGGTCCACCGATGGCCTTTACTGTGAGTGAGTGCCAAGTATTTGCAGAATCAAGACCCTTTATTATTCAAAGGTTAAATTTGGGATCTCACACCTGAGAACACGTAGTGATTGCTACCATGAGTAATTCCCACCGAGGAGGATGTTACATCTTGCGGCAACAGCCCGAGCAGACTCCGAGGGCGAGGGAGACTGACTGGACTCATGTATGAGAAGTGACAGTGGGACTGGCTCTTTAAACAGCAAAGAGCAACGATTACCAACAAATGTTCCCAAACACACTACATTTTATTTCCCAAGAAGGCCAACTTTGTATTACACATTAATAATTTTTCTCCTTAAATATATTTGCATAACATACAAATAACCAATCTCTATTTTTAAAAATGAAATTTGAATAAAAAATTGCTTTGGGACCGAAACTGCATACTTTAAATTTCTCCCAGAGCAATTTACTGACAGCCAGGCTGTAAGCCCCGGAGAAGAGGGCTCTGTGCTTGGGAATGCTGACGCAGCCTCCCCTGACGCTGCTGTAGTACAGCTCAGTACAGAGACGAGCAGATGCACTTTTGCACACAGGTTGCCAGAAATCCTACAGCTCATTCCCTATGTGCTCATTCTGCTGTAAGGTGGTAAATTGATTTAAATGGCCAAAATTAAATATAACTGAAAAAACCCAAAAAACCTGAAACTTGTGCTTCTAGAATGCCCTGACCCTGCTTGCAAAGCATTTCCCCATGTCACCCAGCTTTGGCATCGCTTTCCCTTCCTTATTGCATGCCTCTTGACCCATTCTGTGGCTGAAAGCGTTACTGCGTATGTTGTAGAAGGGTATGTATTAAAGAAAACTCTCAAAAGAATAGGATTTCTGCAAATTGGATTGGTAATTTTTCCTCATCTCTGGATTACTTCTTTTTGTAGGATCTAGTGCTACTTTGGTTGAACCCAATGGGGCAAGTCCCACTGAAGTCAATGATGCAGAAGGAGCTGTCAGACGTTCAAAGACCTCTCCAGCCAACCTCTCTGTGATTCCCTCTCTCACGATAATTTTTAAAAATGTGCCCATTATCACCAACTGCCAATGTTAAAATTCACTCCTTTTTTTTAACACAAACAACATTTACCACAAAGATATGAAGGGAAAAGCCATCAACTTCTTTGCAGGTGATTACCTATTCGTATGACACAAAAGAAAAATAATTTACAGTCACAAACTGTACATAGTATTTGGTGGGGGACAGTGTATTTGTGGGTTAGAGTAAAAAAAAGGATTGCTTCAGTGGTAATTAAATTATTGATGAGATATGAAGACTTTAAAATCAAGAGAGAGTGATAATTTGGCTACAGAGACGATCACTGTAGTATGTCTAACACAGGTTTGGATAGTAGAAAGGTGAGTAGAGAGATCTGGGGAAGGAAAGACACCGTCATGCAGAACAGCACTAGTTCTTGCTCAGTATACTCTTCAGGCTTCTCTCCACTGCTTCGTCTAATTCTTCTTCCAGCTCTTCCTTCTTGGACATGGCCAGTTTGGACTGATAATCTTTTACTATTTGGTCTATGTATGGTGCGCTCTGAGTCCCGTGCAGCATCAGCGTCCACTCCTTCAGCACGCCGCGCTGCGGCAGGCTGCCCACAAACCCAATCTCTAGAGCCCAGGTGCCTCGGGGGTCTTCTCCCCAAGTGTGTGTGGTCATGAAAGGCCATTTGTCAAAACCCACCTTGGAGTCGTCATCCCTGGGGCGCCGGCTCAGCAAAATGGACTTCGTTCCCATCGGCGAGGTCATGTTGATGTTGAGGTCTCCTCGCCTAGTGGAATTCACAGTTATAACTGCTTGGACGTGTTCAAGGTATCGGACAAAGTTTTCCTTCCCCTCACAAGCATCAGTCGTAAGTGTGAGGACCAGCTTACCACTTGGTGGTATCTTTCTGCAGGTCAAAAGATAATTAAGGAAATTAAAAGGATATACACAGCATGACACAGCTCACGCTAACACTGCTGGGTTTTGCTGCCTCACAGAAAAACCCGCACTATTTTCCTTATTAATACATGGGACATAATAGTAGCAAACTTAGAGAACACTCTCTTTTTAGGAAATGATATCAAAACCTTCATTTGAAAATACATTATGAAACGTACACCTACACAATGCGAGAGGAGGAATACGATTAAGAAGTACATACTGCTATTTAAGAAATATTAACATATATTTAATGGCTGCCTTTAGTTATCACTACTGTATTGGGTAATTGCGTAATAATGTGTATATTCAGTAGAAGACCCGTGAGCAGTCAGTCGTGTCACAGTCACCTTAAAAGACAGCAACAAACGGCGGCCTGGAGTCAGAGGAGCCGGTTGCACAGAATTTCAGTGCAGTCACATTAAAGCCTACAGCCTTGTTCTGGTTTGGAAACCAGCACCAACATGGGATCCCAGTGTCACCTCATCTGAAAAACAGCTTTCCATGAAAATCCCTATCCTTGAATTGCTTCTGTAGAGGAGCGCGCACACCGAGGAGAGCAGTTGCGCTTGTTTACCGAGTTGCCAGAGTGCTGCACCTTGAAGTCACAAGGTTCTTGGTTATAATAATTCAGTTGTTATGAAGGCAAATGCACAATTAACTGAAGGACATCTGTCCCAAGTATTACCAGAAAGCTAGACCCGCAGATGGCACACAGGCTCAGTCCTGCTGCATTTATTTTGCGGGGACCCGGTCATCAAATGGAAACCAGACCCCTGTTATCGGCGCACAGGGCTCCTTTGCTGGAGAGCGCCGGACACCTGAGATGCAACGCCTGGCAGTTAGCACGCAGGAGGAGAAAACCGCTTCAGTCAGGGCTGTGTGATCGCTCCCAGCTGTTCATGGTCTTACCAACATCTGTCAACAGGATGAAGTACACGCAACAGGGAGCAACGTTACGCTGGTCGGTGCTCTTGGCTCCCTGTGTGCTGGGCACCCACAGTGGGTTTGCTCCTCGTCTGGTTGAGGAACCCTGTGAGGCACCATCATTTCCAATGCGTGCCTCCAAGGCGGCCAGGAAGAGGCGAGAGGGTGCTGGGGCAGAGCGAGGTGCATCCGTGCCTTCCCAGCTCTCGCAGAGGGGGCCGGTAGCCGCCGGGCAGTCCCGCTTGGGATCTCTGTGCAGGCCCGAAGGCACCGGTGCCCGGCCCGGGAGCAGCACCCTGCCAGCAGCCGAGGCTGCCAAGTGCCCGCTAAACCCCTCGGGGTCAGGGTGCAGCTGGCAATTACCAGGTACCTCAGAAACCGGCTGGCAAAATACACCAAAGTGTAAACAAAATTCTCTGCTTCTTCACCATCAGCGCTGTGAGCAGTGTGACACTTTCCTCTGTCTAAAAGAAATACTTGAAAGACAAGAATTACTGCAATCATTAAAAAAGGGAGTAAGTCACAAGAGACTCCCATCAGTTTGTCATTACCTCTTCCAGTGGCTTCTCCCTGACCTGGGTTTTGCAGTAAAGAAAGAGAGTCCCTTTTAAAGGGCACTGACCACACAGTGTGGTAACGAGTATCTTCTTTTGAAAAGAAATGAGTACCAGCCTTTTTCCCTTTGCTAATGAAATAGTGCGTTCTTCAGGGACCAGTGAAAGCACTTCACTCCAGCCTAGCTTCCAGGAATTCTCTTCTTGAGATGAGCTCCAGGTATTACAGCTTGGCTCAGGCCAGTCTCTGCCCCCCTTTCATACAGTATTGCCGCCTTCGGAGTACTTGCAGAGTAAAAAGACACTCAGGTCCAGGTCCTCAAGGCATTTAAACACTTACCTTAAACTGAAAAACCTGTGTTGTTCTGAATCTTATGGATGTTCTGGAGTAGAAGCTGATATAACATAAATATTGTATAGCCACAATATTTGAACATACAATTATAATACCCTCAAGATTTATCTGGTGTGCCCAAGCACAAGGAAAATGCACCGTATGCAGCCAGGGGTGAAGGATCATAACCTCACAGTTGCCACACGCTTGGAATTTCTCTGCATGGGGACCATCGTCCTCAAAGCAATGTGAATTCCCCTTGTCTGACAGCAATCTCACACAGCAGAGAAAGTGTTGTCAAACACTGCTTCATTCCCAGAGTTGTGGTAAGCGCTTTGCATCTTCTCCAGCGAATGAGGGAGGACACCACAGTGTGAGCCTTTTCTGTCTATCAGCACCAAAAGCCAAAGAAATAAGAGCAGTGTTACCACTCCATCTGCTCTGCAGACAGCCTGACAGGTGCAGACAGCTTTTCTCTGCACCTTCTTAAGTGCTGCACAGTGCAAAAGTCATCTCAGCTCTCTAAAACACATGAGAAAAGGCTCGCTCTGTTTCCTCCTTTCCTATTAATTAGGTGCCACTACTCTCTGCTTTGCTGGACTAATTACTATGGTCCAGGTGAATTTCCCCAAAGAAACAAAAAGAACCAGGGGTGGTGGAAAAAGCCTGACATGAAAGGAGCAGAAGAAGAGATGGGTTTTCCACACCCTCACTATGTACCACTGCCCAATCACTATATATATTAAAAAATATATCTATATATATTCACTTTTGCATGTAGTGTAGTACCCCATTAGAGATGTTTCTGCTAATTGACAATGCTGCCCTGGTAGACACCTCTGTGGCAACTGCTCACCTACCTAAATCTGTCTTGAATATGTATTTTATATATACAAAGATCTATACTTACATAAACATATATAGAAAATGTTGCTCCAGCAAGGCCAAACTAGAAAAATAACCCAATTATCCACGGCAGAAGCACAGTGCAGTTTTCACTTCCAAGGACTCTCTGGAGATGCTGGGACTTAACTAGTTTTATTTACAGTGTAATTCAAAAAATGTAGATGTTGCAAGTCATGATGCTTATTATCTTCCATCAGTGACGTTTTCATTGGGGGAGGTAACTACGACAGCGGTCCTATTAACATATAGATGTGTTGGGTAATTATAGGGGGGCACCCACGCAGACCACACACTGAGATTACATTGCAGGGGAGTTTGGAGCCTTAGGTGGTGACTGACATGGCTGAACTTCACAGATCTGCGTGCTGTCAGCACAAAGCCTCTTCTGGGTGCTGCTCTCAAAAGACATCAACACAAGGCAGTGGTTTTTGTCAGCTCTGGAGCTTGTTGGGCAACGACAGCTACAGGGAAGCTTTACTACAGTTCCAGATCCCTGGGCTGGAGGAAATGCATCATCACCTCTGCTTTTTCATCCGTTCAACAGCAGAAACGGGACAGACAAAGGCTGAAGGAGACAATACTACTGCATAGCAGTTGCCCAACTCTGGCTCTGTCTGTTGCCAGAATACCTCTACCACATCCTCTAATGCATGGAGCCAAGCCTACAGAAAGAAATTTTCTCTCTTCCTCTAGCATGATCCCCATTTCAATAAATGGGGCTTCACTAAAAGAAATGAGATTATTTGTCTGCATTTAAATTATGAATAAACTAGAGATAGCTCAAAATTAGCTTCAGCACTCTCTCATTTGTTTCCTACTTGTGAGCATGTGTAGGCTAGATAAATTAAAACTCAGATCTCAGCTGCAGAACCTTGGATCCTGCAAATACAAACCCAACTGGAAGGCTGAGAACAAACTTACTCTTTGCTTGGCTGAGCTATGTGCCAGGGTGGCATACTGGTTTACTTTCTTTTTCCAATAGAATAATGATGCCTTCAAAAATGGCACTGAAAAGTCAAATTTCAAATGGTATAGACATAAATTGTCCAATATTAGGTTAGCATTTCAAATAATTAAATTGAACTATAGCTGTTGCAGTCAATTAGTATTAATTCATTCACTTGTTGACTCATTCACTTTAGCACATGAAGGTAAATCAGAAAATAATTTGACTACCTAGCCTGCAATTAGAGATTTGAAGAACATAAACCAAACACAATGAAATGCTGTAGTGTTTAAACTGAATCACTGGTACCTGTAGATGATTGTTTCAGTCTTCTGGAGATAAAATTGTCTGCTAGAATATGTCACAAGGAGATATGACCTGGCTGACAGATATTTCATGTGGCAGCAGTTTATGTAATTTACAGCGCCAGCCTCCCAGATTTTCAGTTGTGCACAGGCTCTTTTTTCCACAGAAACTTTGGCACAAACATACCTGTGAGTACCCAGGAGAAATGGATGTTGCTATTAACACTACTGGCGCTAGCAACGATGATGCAAATGAGCTGTAGAAAGCACTCCTCCAGCAAACCAGGAACTCAAAGATCAGGTAGTTTAATTTATCAACGTATCGAAATAGCTGGAATGCTACTGGTAATGTTAGGCTTTCTTAGAAAGAAATTTTTGTTATGTTTCTTTGACTATCTATGTCTTTGTCAATGTATTTGCATGCTTGTGGCCCCCTAAATGCCTGGAAGAAGCCAAACACGTATACTGGACTATTCACTTACTCAGGCTCCTGTATTGACCCTCCAACACAATGGAATCTCTCGGGAACAGTTTTCCAGTCTTTCGCCATCTTAACCATTGCTCCTGCATCGAGGACACCATAGCCAAACAAATGGTTGAATTCCAGCCCAACGCCATTTCTACGCCACTGATGAACCTCATCGTGAAGCTGGTTCCTCTTGGAGGTGAGCACGGTCAGATGCTGCATGTCTCTCCATGTCAGATCCAAGCTGTGGAAGGGCAACACGGAAAACAAACAGTACAGTATTTCCAAGCAGGTATTAAAGAAAGACAGTGTATTTGAGTAAGCCTTTTGGTAAAATTTGCTTCTATGAATCACACAGAAATTGTATCTATACACATTATCAATAACAAAGCTTTTATTGTGGGAACAAGAATAGGTTTTAATTGTACAGTACTCCCCCAAAATATATTCCCGAAAATTGCAAAATCATTTCTGATTGTTTCCCTGTTCTTGAAAACAACTGCTTTTAACTACACATTATAGATCCACCATGCAATTTTTAAGCTAATAAAATGAGTAGGATATTATATCAGATCCTGAAAAGAAAACAAAAAGAAAAAAGATGATGACAAAATTTCGCCTAGCCTTCCTCTTAATTCTTGCCCTCTTTTCCTTGCCTGCTCCTCCTGCTTTTCCCCTGGACCTTCCAAGATTCACCTAGAGAAGCCCCAACCCGATGAAGCTGATGAGCTACACCAGCCCAGGTGTTAGTAATTTCAGCATTCGGTGAATATGGCTATACGGGCTGTAGGTTTCCATCCTAAGGCCTGGTAGAGGTTTGTCACCTGTGATATACTAGCAGGGATGGATGCAGTCGAGTAACATTTGTCTAGATTCAATGATCATTTTTCATCAGCAGCTCTTGACTTCCTAGATTTGCAGTGATTATGATGGCAGGAAGGGCACTTACAAGTTATTATTCTGGAAGCTTTAGACCTGACATTCTAATTCTACATAACTAAAGCTATTCCAGTTGTTTTGTGATGAACTCTTTCAACATTACAATACGTCTGATTCAAACCACCAACCTAAAAGGATCCGCTTTTCAGCCTTCTGTGCCCCAAGTACTAAGCATGTGTGCATGCTGAATGTACACCAGAATAGCCAATTACTGTCATTTTTCCAAGGTGACACAAGATAGCTGAGAGCCAGATAGCACTTGCATCATTCTTATTGAAATCTTTTAAGAGCTGCTACATATCTTAAAGCCGTACTTTCTATTTCACAGATTGGTCTGTTTTTAGAGATGTCAGACGTATATTGTATACGAGCTGACAGACATATTGCAGGCAAGAGGAGTCTGTACAGGAGGTTGTTAGCCGTTCCCGTGAAGGCTACTGTAGATCACCCAGGGTCGTTCTGCACAATACAATTTAAAAGAGCGAGTCTGGAAGGAGACAGGAGACACTGTCAGTTCTTTCTCCCTGCTCCCCCCCACCTTCTCAGGAAAGGCTAGAAACTCAATTGCAAACCAGGGGTATTAGTTTAATTTCTACTCATGATAGCTTGGCAAGAGTAATTCCAATCTTCATGGATAGCTCAAACAAAGAGGAATGATAATTATTACTGAGATATTGAGGTTGTAGTCCAGGCTAAACATGCAGTGGTCAGAAAATTCATTAAACCTTTATATTTTTCTGGCCACGTTAACTTATTACATGGTGGCTGTCCCACTGAACGAGTTTGATAGTAGAAGGAACAATCATCCAAAGTTAAACACTTGGCATGTGTGTTTTATGTATATAAAACCTGAAAAATCAGACTTGGCCTAAGTCATGCTCTGCGGACAACAATCATGGCTCTGCTAATGATGTCAACTTTGTCTCCTCTGCCAAATCTTCATTCTTCTGCACCACTGAAGAACACTACGTACAAAGTGCTCACCTCCTGCTGCAGTTACAGCAACTGAAGGTGTATAACTAAGCAAACGCTGCCTCACTTCATAGAATAATTTAACAGAAAGTAAAAAGATGGCATAGGTTATTGTAAGTAAAACTTTGCCTAATCATTACAGAATAAGATCATGAAGGAAGATGGACAAGAAGGCTCCAATGTTGTGAATAGCATGGAGATGGCAAATAGACAATGGATATTTATTCTTTCATGTAACAGAGCAATTATGTAGCACAGAAGCAAAATTACCAGCAATGGGTTAAGAGAAAACAAAGGAAACATTCCCCACCAGCATCACCAAAAATATTATTATTGTGGAACTGATTGCCACTGGACGACACAGGTGCCAAATACAGACACACTGAAAAAGAGTTAGATAAATTCAAGGACGATAAATCTGCCTGTGGCTATTAAACAGGATAGGCTGACTGCTCTCTCTCCAAATCACTGATGGCCAAAGCTGTCGTTGAAAGATCGCTCTTAATCCCCATTTGTTGTACTCGCTCCTAAGCATCTGTCACTGCAGACAGTATGTGGCACAAATTGAACTCCTGTCTGATACTATAGGTTCATTTTTATGTTTTTGTAGGTTAAGCATTGCATACATGGTATGTGGAGAAATGAAATAATCTCTCCCTCCAAACAGTGCTGGAGAAGACAAATCCCTGGAAGCAGTGGATGGAGAGGACACAGAGTGAGCGAGTCAGCCAAAATGTATCTGCTACACGGCTTTGGCAAGACTGTTGCTCCATCTGTAAGTTACCATGCATGTCACTACTGTAGCAGACAGCTCATTAGCTGCTCGTCCTAGCCCCGTGCCACAGCCAGCCCACTTCAATGATGAACAGCATTAAACAAACCGCAGGCCCTCTCCTCTCTAGAGCTCACAAGGAATTTCTCAACAGCGTACTTAGCCTCCAGGGCCAAGGCGAACACGCCGGCTGCTTCAGGGGCAGCTGCAGATGTTCCTGAGTGACGCAGGGTGCAGTTGCCGTACAAATCCGTTGTAGCCTGCAATGATATTAGATGTAATTAATGAAACCAGCTAGTCCATTTTCCTTGCAGCTGCAGACTCAGAAAGTGGACTATTATGCCCTTGCTCTTTACAGTAATTGTGTGTTGGTGCCAAGGATCTGTTTTCTTCTTTAGAAGAGCGTATCAATTTAAAAACACAGCGAGACATAGTTACAGAAGGTGTGAATGCAAGAGCAAATCATGATGTAGTAAAACGACGTTCATTACCACTTAGAACTCATAAAGTCACATAGATGGTATTTATTTCCTATAAACACAGTTTAACCAAAGGCCTTAAATTCCCTTGTGGATACCAGAAGAATTTGAAACTAGAATTGTTAACGCTATTGAGCTTTTTGACATTTGTGCAACTCCAGAACCAACAGCAGTACCAGGCTGCTATCTTCCATGCAGATTAGTCACTAGAAGAGACCAGCAGGAAACCTTAGAAATAAGTTTTATAGCGATAATTACCAAGGTGCCACAGATCATCTTGGCTGCTAGCAGCACAGAGCTGACACCAAGACAGAAACCAGTATTTTTCCATCTGTTACTGCGTATGGGCATTTAGGATTACACCACGTGTCTTTGGGATTTGAGACAGGGCCATGGAAAATGTGTAACAGTTTTTGGCAAAAAACTAACCTTGAGTTACTATACCTGAATTTTCCACCCTGTGAACTAGACTATGTCCTGGCTAGTCTGAAGGTGCTGAACAGCAGCAATCAGTACGGCAGAAGAGAATTCCTACTACACTTGAACAGAAACTGCCTGTTTTCCAGCTGTAGGTATGGCCCTGTAGAGGACTTGAGTACGATGCTCTGCACTGCTCTATAGGAGACTGAGGGTGATGTGAACTCCCTCCCCGATTTCCCCTGTGGGTGGCTGAATATCTTTCTGCTCTGTGCAGCTTGTGGTACAGCAGAAGCCTGGTTCATGACTGCTCTGCCAGTACTAGTAAGTATGATCTCAGACGTTGACACTTTTCATTTAGATTTTTACAGAGACCCTTTGTCACACCGTCCCCTAGAAAGAGTGCAATTGAACTTCTAAATCTGCTTTCTGATAAAGGAAAGCACCAACTATACGAAGCTCTAAGAGTTGGAAGATCATTGCTGTTCTCAATATTAATCCCACATCTCCTCAGCTGACAGTTCTGGCACCGTCACGTACTGCAGATGAGAAAATATCCATCTCAACAAAGAACCATCTGCTGCCCCAAAGCAGACAGACTTGTAATAGGTTGTGGGAGTGCACAAAGACAGCAGCAACAGCACAACAGTATCTGGACTCACCACGCCAGCCTCTGGATTTCTCTTCCTCCCATTACTGAAGGTGGAGGCTAAGGTTGAAGAGCAGCTTTCATCATACAGAGCTGTCCGTCCATCATTTATAGCAGAATTGATGGAGATTGTCCACATGCTCGATGCATAACCGTCACAGTTACAGTCATCGTAGCTGCCCCCATCTCCAGAGGCCCAGACATAGATGCTTCCTTTGCCACCCCGGCCCTGTGAGAGGGGACAATCGACCTCTTGGGTTAAATTGCAAATAGGAGATAGCACCTACTTTAAACTGCACATCTAATTGCAAAGCTAGGCAGCTATAAAGGAGAAAACTTTATCGATGGTCCAAACAAAATATACATCAATCTTAAGCTGAAATAACATGGACTTCTGCAGGTTATTAAATCCGGTTAACTGGCAGCCACAGCCAGCTCTGCAACCTTATGTACACAGAGCACTTCCATTTATCTCCTGTTTTGCTTGACGCCCTGAAGGCTCCTGTGCCAGATGCTAAGACATTTTATGGATCCATTAGCGTTTATGTCAAGGTCTAAGCGCTATGAGGGAAGCATTCTTTTAAAAGGGATATAGGTCATCTCACAGACTGGGTTTGTAAGATCCAATTAGGTTCAGGCAATTGCTAAAAAACTCTGTAAAACTGGCACCTTCTTCTCTCAATAGATTTTTCTCCAAAGGTATCACTGACTCAGAGTTGTTTTTCTGACAAAACAGCTTCTACTACTAAGCAGAAAATAAAGTTATGAGACCATATACATCATCTACAGAAAGACAGTCTACCAATTACACTGAGAAGGCGAGAGATGGATGGGAGAGACTGAAGCTGAAGGGCAGCTTTATAAAGGCTTCCCATTACTTAAAGGAAAGAAATCCATACCCTCTCCCCAACTTCCAGATAGGCAAGAAGTGGGAAGGGATTAACTCGGCTCCTCCTTCTCATCCCGTACCAAGAAAGAGGTGGGGGCTGCCTGGAAGAGGGTTAGACCTGAGAACCCTGACACTCGGGGAAAGATCAGTGCTACTGAACCCAAAGCTCAGGTCTCCCACTGATTCCAGCCCAGCCACCATTTCTCTCTGTGTTTAGTCCAAAGGAATTCCAATGTTTACTTCCAACAGCACCAGAAGGATGCAAGGCCTCAATTTAACATACTGTTTATGTGCATTGGGCAGAAAATGAAAAAATCTCTTCTGACCTTTTCATTGTCCAGCATGAAATGGAAGTTAAAGAAAATACAAACATAGTAACCTGCAATGGTATTTTAATAGGGAACCTTTTCTGTCAGGAGTTTAAATCAAACCTGAGCTCCCAGCAGTAGCTTCCATTTTTTATCATACCCCACTGAACAGAGCAACCTCATTATTTCAAGCACGTTGGTGAGCTGCATTACAAATCCACTGAATCGCACAGCAGGTTTGCTGCCACTGGGGTATGTAACATCTCAGGACATAGATTTTCATAATAAAGGTGATGACTATGAAAAAGCTTATTGAAATCAGTCAAAGAATTCCCACAAAGATGTCAGATCAATCATTTGAGTTTTAAGGGATAAGGATACTGTTGCAAAAATACATACTCTAAGAACAAACTAATACCAGTAAATGATTTAAAAAAAAAAAAAAAAAAAAGATGAGCATAACAAGAACAGTTATGCCTTTTTTCCCTTTTACTTTTTCCATATCCCACCTTGTGCTCTGACTGCCGTTAGCCTACAAACCTGGGCTTTGGACTCACTTCAGAGGCTACACGCCAAGCTTGCCACCATGCCCACACACACCATCACATCACCTTGCCACCACCTGCCTCCCTTGGACAGCCTCTGGGGCAGCTCGAGGACACCTCTGTCTGTCCCAAAAGGCAGGCTGCTGCCCAGCGCAGAGAGAAGGTGGCTGCTGGTGCTAGGAATAGGACGTTTGGCATGTACGGACCCATTCTTAAACAACCTTCTCCTAGACATTTTAAAGAGAGGGAACACTTCATTTTCATGTGATAAATTCACAAAAGTAGCTTGGTGCCTGGAAGTTAGCCTCTGTAGCGTTAAAAAAAGGGAAACAGACTTAGTCCTGCTCGGCAAATTGTTCCATGCTGCCAAAGCCAGGTGCTGCTGCAAAGTGTTTCACCCCACGGGTGGGATTTGTGGCAGAATGGCAGAAAATGGGTATAACAGATTGCTGGGGGGGAGCCGGGGGGATTCACAGAGGAACTGAAATTTGAGCTTGTGGGTCAAACTGGCCTGCTGAGGGCTGCTAGGGATGGGTTTTATGCATGTAATTACTGTAACGTGAGGAGAATATCCTCACGGTATAACGGCTATGAGAGTCACATCCACAAGTGTGGCGTAGCGTTAAAACCCATAACTCACCTCTTAATATTTCAATTGCCTGTCCTTCTTAGCCAGGACTGGAAAGAGAAGCAACCGCTACTGGAATAAACTGAGAGCAGCCCAAGTGTGTTATTTGCAACGACGCTTAGGACTCGCTGCTTACACCTCCCACAGCCAGACCTGCAGTAGTTGGATAGTTTGCGCAGGCAAACTGTTTGGTGGCTGTCCTCAGGCATCGTTGCATTTCCCAGACAGAAATATATGGCTTCAGGGGAAGTGAATTTTCCATTCTCTGGATGGTAGTAGTCTAAAGCAGAAAAATCCCTGTTGGGTCAACTAACGTCATATTTAAAGCAAACTGAAAGCTCCTATCTGCATCTCAACCTTATATGAACTTCAAAAATTTCAGTGGTGTCACTCAACTTAGGTGGCTGTAAATTTAGGCCAAAAGAGGAGCGGAGAAGGTGGTCACAATACACACTACAACACCAGAGGGGGGCTGAGGGAAGGTGCAGGAAGAAGAGAGAAAAGCAGCAAGGTAATAAGATACATTATAAAGAGCATCTTTCCTCCAGAAAAAAACCTGCTGAAACCTGCTCGTTTCACCCCGAAGCGATGCACAGCGTGGCACTCACACTTCTGAGCCATCTGAAGCTGCATCGCACTCAGAGCTGAAAATGGATCTTGATGCATTTAGTACCAGCCCAAGCGAGGCTCACCTCTCAGTTCAGGCTAAACCAGAATTAAATCTTGGGCAAGGCTATATGCTTTAGAAAGTCACAGACAGCTACTGAGAAGCTCTCTTGTGGAAACAGCAGGTTTTCTATTTCCAGTGTCCTTCGTAGGATGTTGTGCTACCAGGAAAAAATATCCCTGAGAAATTTTCTTACCTCTTTTCTCATCTTCTAAAGAGCATAATCCCAGAAAAACTTCTTTACTGAACTACCTTGCAAAAGCGAGTTGGCAGGGGACTGCAGCCTAATTCACTTTACCTAACTTCAGGCATATCTTGAACTCTTCTTTTTTTTTTTCCTTGGTATTGTGTTCATTTATCACACTTGCTGGGCTAGTGCCTAAGCCAGTGTTTCGCAAAGTTTTGATTGCTGGATCACACTTTCCAGATAAAAATGGGTTGTATTTGACAAATAAATCTCCTCCAGCTTCCCTGACCTTTCCCATCAAGGCTGGCAAGGGCCCATGTGAGTAACAGCTGGTCCTCTAACATGGCACAGCCTCTGCAATAGCTCCTCTACCTCACCCACTCCTGCCTGGCCAGCAGGGCTGCTAAAGATGGATGGGAGGAAGGCAATAGTCTTTACAGCACGTGTCTGGTGCCCTTTGGCTTTCGCTTAATCCTTCAGTCATACATCAGGACTAAGAGTTTCCAACCTGTACAAGCTAAAAACAAAGAACGGACTCCTGCCCCGAAAAGCCAAGTACCAGGGAATGACAGCATCAGGACACAGCAAGCAGCCAGGCTCTGGGTAAGAAGGAAAAAAAAAAAAGTAGTACCTGACTGTGAGGAGTTCTTTTGTTTTGTTTTGTGGGGGTTTTTTGGTTGGTTGGTTGGTTTGGGGTTTTTTTTTGTTTGGTTTGGGTTTTTTGTTTGTTTTCTTATGCACAGTGAAAAGGTATTTTAGGATAAGGACAGCCAAATGGTTTGCTGATGTTTATGGACTGTCCCATTTCTAAGGAAGAAAATGCAGATAGAGCACATTTGAAAAAAACATGAAAAATTAAAGAACTGGAAATTGCGTTCTGTAACAAATTCAAAGCCTATATTATTTTATAAGAACCCTTCTTTTTGTGTGACATAGGACAGTTATTTTGTAATTCTTCCCCTTAAGAAAACAGAAGTGTTTCAGCACCTTCTATGCATTTAATAGCAAATTATGTGCCTGTAAGAGACAGGCTAGTTTTCTAGGAAAAGCAAAAAATTCTGCAGCTTTTTCAAGTCTTTGCCATGGGTCCTACTGACTTATGAATAGGACTCAGTTAGTTTCCATCCCCTCTTAATTTTGACTGTATTATCCTCCAAAAAGAGCACTTCTTTCTCTTCAGGACTGAACTACCTGAAAATCCTTACGTGTCCTTCAGTAACGATTGCTAATTATCTCAGCATGTGCAGTTTGCAGCCCAAGCAGGCAAGGCGAAATCGCCGTCGTGCCCCAGGCTGGGGCACACCAAGGCAAGGACGACCTGCGGAAGGGCTGTGGGAGCATTTGCCCCCCATCATGACTTGGTGGGGAGCACCGGGCTGGGCTCTGAAGACAGCCAGGAGCCTACGCAGAGACCTTGCTCCCCCTGGGTCTCCCCACCACTCCTGCGCACGAGCAGCCCAGCTGTGCAGCGTAAGCCAGCTGGAGGCAGCGAGTCCTTGGCATCACTGAAGCGCTGCTCATCTTTTGCACTGCCAGGGTTTTCTGGAGCCTGCCTGCGTGTTCCCGCACCCCTGACACGATGCCAGCTCGCCAGCCCACCGAGCTCTCGCTCTCCTGGCTCCTCCAGCTACCTCTGCATCTGCCAGGCTGATTTGCCCAGAGCAATCTGGTAACCTGTGACTTCCCGGATCCCTTTGCTCCTTTCCTGCTCTCATTTCTTGGCAAGTGCTAAAAACCTAGGCAGAAACACAAGCCTGACAGCCAGCCAAGTAATCTCAATTTAACCACACAGACACCAAAGTTTTAAGCAGGAAACATATTTGGATTTCCAAAGTTGGCCACTGCACACGTTTGGGGGACAGCTGTCTTGTTCGAGCTGAATGCCTTAGCACTTCTCCCATGCCCAGCCCCTTCCGAAAGCCTGGAGCTGCTGTGCTGTGTCCCTGGAAAAGCCCAGGATGTCCGGCCCGTCCAGCACACCCACAAGTTGTGGAGTTCAGCGCGG